TGGCGCACATGCACAGGCATTCGACGGGGATAAGGACCGCTGAGGGTATGCGCAGGCGTTGGATGATGGCTGTCAAGACGATTACAATGCCCGCAAGCGAAGCAAAGCCGGCCTGCCTGCATGTTAGTACAACGGTATTGATCGATGACTGTTGAACGTACAGCCGCGACTGAGATCCAGATCTTGATGGCGCCTTTGTAGACCGTAGCAAAGTATTCTTTCCAATACTCCGCCATTTGAGCCTCTGGCTTAACCGCGTCCATGATCTCGGCACCACGGCTCTTCATATCGCGAATGATGAACTGGGCTAATTGAGATCGTTACTACCATGTTTCTATATTCTCGATTGAGAAATCAATACTTACACCAAGCACCTAGCCCCAGCACTCCCATTGCCACGATCAGGGCTAGGACCCTTATTGACAGCAGTATCGATTTGCCATATCCCATTCTCGTACAAGAAATTGATGGAAAAATACAAGATGAAATGAATGTATCGTATAAGCACAGTCCAGCTGGCAGCTGCTCGCAGAGCGCTAAGTTGAAAGTAAGTGGTGTCTAAACGAGTGAGTGGTAGGCACGAAAAGAAAACCCGTTTCCACGAGCGGATGCAGTATCGCTATTGAGGCAAACGCCACATTGTCAATAAAGTTCGGAGCCTCAGGAGCCGGGTGCTTTGATGTGATGCCTTGTGCAGCTCGAGTGGGGGTGGAAACATTCGTGGTGCAGGGTGGCTGGTTGTGCCTGAGCGTGCAGGCAGACCTGATTCAAGACCCGCGATGTCAACGCGCCACCACTTTACCCACGCGGAGCTCTAGTCCCGACCCGTATCTGAGCATAAGGCAGAAGAATCTTCTGGAGCACTGGTCTCTGTCTGTACCCATGCTGCTCGCCTCACAGCTCATTGTTCAAGCGTTCATGCCATCGCAGCTTAGCAATTGGCCAGCAAACCCGAGGATTTCCCACGGAATGTTGTGATCCGCCATAAGAGAGATGCGTCCACGTGCATTGACAGTTGTGACGTCCCGATAATGAGGAACGGCTGGGGTGATGCATGTCTCTCCACGTGTTGGCGGTCTTGAGACAGAACCTGAGGCACCAAGGCGTCGCCGTTGTCAGGCTGAAACGGGCGTCAGACCCGAGAACTGTAGCAACGCCATCAACGCTTTCCGGAAGGTTCCGTCATCATATAGCCAGGCTGCTCCATAAGTAACGGCCGTGCCGCTATGATGCCGCCAACATTTGGCTGAGGTCGCAACCTTGGAATATCTGCACGGCCTAAGCACGACGCACTAAATCGCTCCGGGGTTCGGGCGATTGTTATCCGGGGCTACTTCATGAGCCGACTCCCGACTTCCGACAGCGAGAGCCTGGAAAAGATGGATGACAGGGTCTTAGCAGTGCTAACGTTGAAGCATCATGGCCAGGCCAAGCATCGCGATGCTTCGACCGTGAATTTGATTCAGACCCACGGCACGATGAACAGGTTAGTTTGTGTGAAAGCCGGCTCTGCAAATAATCTCGTCTTATCGAACAAGGTCTGCTCCGTTGTGAATTAGGACGACTGTGAATCGCAGGGCTACAATGAGCAAGACCTTTGAGATGAAGATGTTGTACTTTCATGGAATATACAGAGCGGGGCGATGCGAAGAAGCATCTGGGTAATCGTCGGCGAAGCTAGCCTGTCGGCAACAGCCACCTGCACTTGCAGTCGTGCCGACCATCCTCCATCAAGCAACCATCGACACTTGTATCCGCTCTCCCCTCTCCGCCAAGGCAAAATGCGGAGAACGGTTGAGGAGAACGGTAGCATTGCGGATGGCTCGTCACGAGGCCCATACGGTATTCCGGTGGAATCCCGAATGACGTGGGTAGATCGCGAGATGCATGCAAAATTTTCGGAAGTATTTAGCTACCCGTGAATCCAAGGACTGCGATCATCGTGTTGCAGACGACAGTTTCGCAAGATGAGATACTCCAGCGCAGTTGCGGTGAGCTTTGCTCTACTGCCAAATCTAGCGGTCTCACAAGGATACACCAATGAGTCGGAGGTTCCATTATATGGACTTAGTCCGCCAGTATACCCGACCCGTGAGTGTTTTGGTCATGATCGAAAGTCAAAGGACTAACAATAGACAGCTGTCGGTAATGGAACAACCTCGTCTTCTTGGGCATCCGCATATGCTCGAGCGAGAGACCTCGTGGCACAATTGACGCTAGAGGAGAAGTCGAACCTCACACATGGCGTCTCCGGTCCTTGCGTAGGCCAAACGGGAGCTGTACCTCGTCTTCAGATCCCAGAGCTATGTTTCGCGGATGCACCTGCCGGCGTGCGAGGACAAGAGTTTGTCTCGTCATTCCCCGCTGGCATTCATCTTGGAGCTACGTTCGATCGAGATCTCATGCTCAGATATGGCCATGCTCTCGGTAGAGAGTACAGAGGGAAGGGCATTCACGTTGCTCTCGGCCCATTTATCGGCCCTATTGGACGAGTCGCGAGAGGTGGCAGGAACTGGGAAGGTCTTGGTGCCGACCCGTATCTTGCTGGTATTGGCGGTGGTCTCATCACCAGAGGCACACAAAAAGAAGGCGTGATTGCTACACCAAAGGTAGGCGATATCGTAAATACGATGAGAGTCTAGGCTGATCGTATCAATAGCATTGGCTTGCGCAAGAACAAGAGTACAGGCGACGCCCTGGTGACGAAGGCGAGGCCGTCTCTTCGAATGTGGACGATCGCACACTGCACGAGCTTTATGCTTGGCCATTCATGGATGCCCTGCGTGAAGGAGCCGGTTCGCTGATGTGCTCATACCAGCGAATCGACAACTCATACGGATGCCAGAACAGCAAGCTTATGAACGGAATCTTGAAGGAAGAGCTAGGTTTCGAAGGTTTCGTGGTATCTGACTGGGATGCGCAACACGCCGGTGTCGCATCAGCGAATGCTGGTCTTGACGTAGTGATGCCTGTTGCCAAATTCTGGGGCGAGAACCTTACCGATGCGGTGAACAACGGATCAGTCACCACAGAGAGGCTCGATGACATGAACACAAGACTACTCGCAGCCTGGTTCTATCTCAACCAAGATGATAGTTTCCCTGAAAACGCCGTCTACCCATACAACGTCGAACACGAAATCGTTGACGTGCGCGAAGATCACGCATCTCTCATCCGAGAGATCGGAGCTGCCGGAACCGTGCTAGTCAAGAACGTCAACAACACTTTACCACTTCAACACCCCCGCTTCTTGAACATCTACGGCTACGATGCTGAAGTAAAGTCTCAGCCATGGAACAATCCATCCCGGTTCGGTGGTGGCTATGAAGAGAATTTCGGCTGGAACACGCTCAACGGCACCCTCATTACGGCAGGTGGATCGGGCTCCAGCACCCCACCTTATGTTATCAGCCCGTTCAACGCCATCCAGAATCGCGTAATTGCGGATCGTGGAACTGTACGATGGGACTTCTTTGGCGTGAACCCGACCGTGTACGCAAATGCTGACGCATGCCTCGTCTTCATCAACGCATACGCTTCGGAAAGTTTCGATCGCACTTCTCTTACAGACGAGTTCAGCGACCAGCTTGTCAACAACGTTGCGACCAACTGCTCAAACACTGTTGTTGTACTGCACTCCGCCGGCATCCGCACCGTTGACGCATGGATTGACCACCCCAACGTCACCGCCGTCCTTTTCGCGGGTGTTCCAGGCCAGGAAAGCGGTAACGCCATCGCCGACGTTCTTTACGGCGATGTGAACCCATCCGGACGTTTGCCGTACACTGTCGCAAAGCAAGAGTCCGATTACGGCCACCTTCTCAATTCGACTCTCGACCCTTCCATCCCGGCATTTTTGCAGTCAGATTTCACCGAGGGCTTGTACATCGACTACCGCGCTTTTGACGCGCAGAATATCACGCCGCAGTATGAGTTCGGTTACGGACTTTCGTACACGACATTCGGCTATGCGAACATGACAGTTGAGCCTGTTGCGAACGCAAGTCTCGCTGCTTTCCCGTCAGCGTCTGTACCCATTGTACAAGGAGGTCACCCTTGGCTATGGCAAGTCCTGTACCGCGCCACAGTCACCATTACCAACACCGGCAAGGTCGCTGGCTACGAAGTAGCGCAGCTATACTTGGGCGTACCAAATGCGCCGGCGAAGCAGCTGAGAGGTTTCGAACGCGTTGGCTTGTTGCAGCCTGGCGAAAGCCGAGAGGTCGAGTTCACATTAGACCGACGCGATCTGAGTGTCTGGAACGTTACTGCTCAGGCTTGGGAGCTCCAGAGGGGCCGATATGCGGTTTGGATTGGAGCAAGCAGCCGTGATATGAAGCAAGAGGGCGAGATAGTAATCGAGTAGGCTAGGAAGATGATTCAGTAATGTCTATACTTACGACCTTCATCATTATAATTCTTGCAGTCCCGCAGTCTTGTGAAGTGATGAAACAGTGACATCCCCGTACCCTCCTTATGAAAATGCTCGATCTTAAGGCACAGCTAGGAACATGTGTGTTTTCTCTGCGTGGTTGTTCCACCTCTGTTCACTCGCTGAATTATTGACCTAACAACTCCGGCGAACTGTGTTACGACAACTTCCGAAGCACGCAGATCGAACTACGACTTGATGTGTCATGTTCCAAGCAATCGTTTGTGCGCGGTCACGATACAAGCCATCTATTCAGTTTGTCAACATCAAGCTGGTCGAGGCCGATTCGCAGCATATCCCTGAGTGCTTTTGCCCCCGCCCTAGAGAACCACGGTCTTCGTGCCTGTTCTGCGAAGGGGCAAGAATGCACAGACTAATATACGATGCAGTGAATGCAAAACGCCCCTGCTTCTGCTAGAGGGCCTCCTTCTGCCTAGCACTCTCTCCTTGTTCTATATCAGGCCCAGCTCTTTGGGGGCATTGCTATTTCCCAACTGATCACTCCACTCAACTCCAAAGTCTTGAATCTTTCCAAAGGGTTCACATACCAACTATATCCAGAGCAATCATGGTTAAACTGATTGAATACCCCGTGTCGGTAAGTCTCTTGAACTCATTGCTACCGCTGGCTATACTTATAATTACTAGGAGGACATCCAAAAGTCCTACACGTCTTTCGTAAAGACAGTTGAGGAGAGCTTCACTCCTAGATACCCCACCGAGGATCCGGATCCCGTCTTGCTTGAGGCATTTCATGATCTTACGTTGACTGCCGAAGGCTATATCGAATACAGTAACGAGCACGACTCCGTGGAAGACTGGAACGATCCTTCTACCACAGAGAACAATGTGTTCCAAGACATGATCAGTATATGCACGGTGTATCATCAGAGAACTTTGGCCGATGGCGAATTCTCCAAATTGGCAAGAGCTGGTATGCAATGTATGAAGCATGCCTACGACCCTCCGCCGCGAGACATGCTCTCCTACCCACCCCTGCCGGACTCCCTATTGACTGTGTACCGTCACATGGGATACACACCGATCGAAGATGCCATCTTCTCCGATCTCGTTCTTTCATACGAGAAAACTTGTTTCTGGAGTGCATGGGGCAACCGCTATGACCATTGCTATAACAGAGCGAGAGATTTGGATGACTCGGATGAGGATTACTGGGATGAATGGGAATGCCAGTGTTGGTGTGACTATTGCGTGGACGAGACTGCGTATATAACAGGCATAGAGGAGTGGCGCGTTTTCCCAACAGCCATAACCTACATGGATAGGTTCGAAGACGTGTTTGAAAACATTCTGGGGTTCATCTTCTCCGATCTTCGTACAACATGCGGCTCGTATTTGGAGTACACCAACGACTTCGACAACTGGAACGACCCGGAAATCGCCGCATTCCGCGAGTTTTCCGAGGTAGTTGAATACACAACCTACGTCTGTCCGGACTGGTTCCAGAAGTTCCTCTACTTACCTGGAGAGCTCCGCGAGTCCATCATGCACGAGTATGCTTTGATGGAGTGTGATGCTGGTCGCCTGAGCGAGCATCAGCACTACGACGAATTCAGCAATCCGTGCTGCAAGTGGGAGTATCCCAACGTGCTCATCGCTTGCGACAATCAGAACCGCAAGGTGTTTCCGAACGCTAGCACAGGCCGTTGCCCAAAGGGTTGGCTACCAAACCTCGCTTTCGTGAGCCACAAGATGCACGAGGAAGTTCTCGTCTTGATGCTGCAGAGGACCAAGCGATTCGATTTGAAGTACATGTTCCGAAACACTAACTTCAAGATCGCGACTTGGTTTACCAAGTTCATAAAGGCGATTCCTGGCGGCGGCGGCGAGAACGCGGTGAAGCATCTCAACTTCCCGCACATGCATTGGTTCAACCACCAGCGCATCTTTAATAAAGCACTTACGAATCCGAGCTTGGATTTGGCTGTCGCTTGCAAGAATCTTCGCAAGCTGGATATGACTTTCCATGTCGACAAGGTGACTATCAGCAATGAGGATACTGACTGGAAGCGCCAGGCACTTCCTCTTGCTAAAGTCATTGACCGCTTCAAGCTGGGGACGCTATTATACTGCCCTCGTTTGGAGGAAGTGTACATCGACGGCATCTACATGCGGCCGTCTCGAGGCGGCGAGGAGAAGGATCTTGATGTGCTCGAGGACGTCAGCAAGTGGATGACGAAGAGCTTCCTCGTTCGGCGGAATCCGGAGCGCGGTATCCAAGTCGAGCTGGTTCGCCGATGGGGATGTTGGAGGGGACGTGTACGTGGGACGATGATTGAGTTGAATGAACAAGACATGGTAGAGGTGAAAGCGCGCATTGAGATCGAGAGCGAGTGTGTGAAGGCTCTCGCTCTACCTGAGCCTGACATATTCACCTAGAGGGGTGCTTTTAGTGTACTTAGTAATATTTAGCAAAACACCATTGGACATGAAGCTCTCGCGAATGGACCTTGAGTTGGTTCTTGTCATGTGAATGCCGCTGTCACAATGGTCTAGATATTTGTTGAGCTTCTAAGTTTGGTGCTTACCGGCTCTCACCTGTGCCACTGTTGATCACCTGTGTATTTTGCGTCGATGATCAACAAACACAACCTTAGAAGTTTGAATGATGTGTTCATACGCGAAAAGCAATCGTCACCGAGCCTCAAGGACCGATAGACCTACTGGCGACGAGATAGTCCGGAAGCAGAAACAAGGCAGAAGGTTAACTGTTATTCGAAACTTCGGTAGGCGCGCGTTGTGGAGCTCGAGCTTAAGCCATTCAACCAATCAGCGGTGACGTGATGGCCATGACAAAGGCGCTAGCGACGCGATCCCTGCAAATCTGGGGTAGCTTCGAGGCGGCCATACAAGGTGCAGCAAGAGTCTGGCGCTTGCTAGCAAGCCCATATACACCGCTCTGATACCCCTCTTCACTTCTTGTTGATCTACAACTCTTACGACTTTGACATCGAACCTTTGTAATACAACACCAACAACTACACTTTCATCAACATGTCTTGCCCCGTGATCGGTACCACAAACGATGTGCTTCCTCCCAACCACCCCTCTATCGACCTAGCGAAGGATGGTCAGGTTGTACGTACTCAAGGACACACTGGGCATCGTTGCACATCGCTAACATACAACCCATAGTGCCCAGTCGTAGGCGCAACCAGCGACCACCACCACAACCTCTCCGCACACCCTCCCGTCCCCACCCAAGGCAGCGAGGCTACATCGTGCCCGGCGCTCAAGAAGAACGTAAAGACGACCAAGGCCCAGGAGATGGACGATGCTCTCTGCCCGATCGTAGGCACAGCCACAACCGTACTTCCTCCCGACCACCCAGACATGCTCAAGGCGAACGCCGGCGACATCTGCCCAGTCACAAAGGCGACAGTTGGACACCACAAGGACAAGGTCGCTACGCACCCGAGCGTAGAGGGTGTGGCGGATGGGGCTGTATGCCCTGTCACTGGCCAGAAACAGGCTGCGTAGATATGGCGAAAGGAGGGATGGGGGCGGCGTTGGTAAATATACCCGAATAAATATGATTGGATAGTGATTCTACGCATTGTCAGCTTGCGCCCCGTTCTGCGGAGAGAGCTTGGCTGTCGTCTATTCGATTGACAGCACAGCCATGCCGTCAGATGTCGGGCGCCCAACATGCAGTGTGACATTGCATATGGGGGCCATAACAGCCTGCCAGAAATTCGCTTCTTGCTACCCCCGTATCTCTTTTTCGTACACATACTAAATCCTCACCATGCGTTACCATACTCTCTTTCTCGCGTTTTCCCTACTACGCTTCGCATCACCACAAAACATATGCTACTGGCCCAATGGCGACACACACCCCACAGACGTCCCATGCGACCTCGATGCGGAATTTTCGACATGCTGCGGGTCGCTCTCAGCCTGTCTCACGAATGGACTTTGTGTCGCAGAGAGTGGTAACGATGAGTTGGGCATAGATTACGACCGCGGCACTTGTACGGATAGAAGCTGGTCCAGCCCGCTCTGTCCACAGATGTGTCAACTCAACCAAGACACACCGAACAACTCCAGCGCTTACGATTTCCGATCCGGCGGGGTACAGGTATGGCAATGTGGCTCACAGGGATACGGAAAGGAAGCAGCGTACTGCTGCGAATCAGACTTAGAGTACCTGAGGTGCTGTTCAACGGACACGGCGGTGTTTACATTGGAAAGTGCCACTATAGGCCCATACACAGGCATTGCCAGTACTTCGTCGCTGTTGTTGAGTTCATCCGCTACTTTGAATGCGGGTACCACGCCTTCGCCGACTCCATCGCGTACTGGGTCTGGGCCACAGAGCTCCCGGAGTCCTCCAGCCGACACTTCGAATAACGGCGACAACAAAACGACAGCAATCGGTGCTGGAGTTGGCGGGGCCCTAGGAGGATGTCTCCTGATTGCACTGCTCATATTCTTCATCAGACGCCACAAGAGACGCGTTTCGCATCGTTGGTCCAACGAGCTTCCAGTCGCTGCAACTGAATCTGGTAATAAGGCAATGCGCGAAACGCCAATTGAGGAGCCGTATACAGAGCTGCCAAGCCAGAGCCAGCCGGTCTGGGAGCTACCGGGAGACCAACGTCCACCGCGCCACAGCGCGAGCAATCGATGAGAGACAGAGACAGAGGGGACCGGGGACCTACAGCATTGACAGGAAGGTGAAAGTTCGACATTCACTACATGGGAAGAGCGATAATAGAGTCAGATAGATAGCGTTGCAAAGCTCTCCGGTTGAAACTCTGTTTCGGTACGTTCTCTAACGAGCGTTCTACTTTTGTCTTTCCTTTGTAAGCGGTAGTTGGCGGGCTTTCCTTAAATAGTTACGACAGAGCATTGCTCTTGATTTATCTCCTAATCGTTCTTGTGCTCCTCGACGCAACATCTTACTAGCTAGTAGATGAGAACCTCTCGGTACACAATACAGTATTTAATGTTTTCTATACCTGCTTTCTCGCAGGTCGCTACTAGTACTCTTCTTCATGATAGACCTTTCCCTGCTGCAAAATCCTCCTGAAACAATACTGTATGCGCATATTATATCACAAGGCGGGAAGCAAACCGTTGGTGCCACGCGCGCCTCGCGCTTTGGGCACTCGTGATACCAGTTCACCCATCCGAAAAACAATTTCCAGGATGATAAATTACTCCTTTCTCTCCCTCTACCTTCAACTTTCCTTTCAACGGATTCGGCAACTCTGGTTGAACAAGCAATGGAGTTCAATTTTAGAGTCGCTCTCGCAATCATCACCGCGGCTCTTGTAGGACGACTTTTCTACCTCATCTATTTGCTGACAGCCGCTATTCGCGCTGCGAAGCGTTTCGGTTCCGGTTTCGCCTTTGCGTCTAGTCCTCAGGGGAGAAGCAATCACAAGATACCCAGGAAGCCAAGATACATCTTCCATGTACCCAGACACAGCGAGCGCAAAGTGCGCCATCAACCTCGACCCCGCAAGCCTCAAGTGCTGCCATCGCGCTCTGACATCGTTACCAAGACCGAGGAATGCGAAGAGTACGTGCCAGACTACTTCCCACGCTTTCTCCAGCTTCCGCTCGAGATACGTGAGAAGGTCTATCATTACGCAATGACGGCCTCTCAACACGATACTTTGTCCAGGCGTACAAGGACATTTCGCCCCTGACCGTAGCGCCAGCTACACTTCCAAATCTATGTTTTGCTAGCAAGCAATTACACAAGGAAGGACGCGCTGTCTGGATCCGCCGCACACGTTTCACGGTCTTGAAAAGCAGCATAACGCATGTGGTTCCTCTGATGAATTTTCTTTCCGCTGTCGACGGCTTCAAACACGTGCGCATGCTCTGTTATGGCGATCTCCTCGCCTACGGCCTGAAACACCAGAGGGTGTACATAACCACGGGTGAAGATCTAGCTGCCAAGTGCACTGGACTCCGCAGTCTAATCTTCGAGTTGGACTATTTCTGGCTAACGGATCTTGCGCGTGCGCCAGCGCCGGTGAAGCTGGCTCCAAAGAAGGAGGTAAAGAAGCGGTTGAGACTTGAGCCAGTCTACCAGCTATCCAGTTTGAGGAAGCTGAAGATCGAGGTGGTTGTGCCCTGGTCCCGAGGAAAACGCTTTGAACAGCAGGGTGGATTGACGCGTTTGACGGAGATAGTCACCGAAGGCTTTGAAGCGGCAGGGAGAGGTGGGGCTGTAGAATTGCAGCTTGAGATGGTAGCCAGGAGGCTGTTGGTTGGAACGTAGTGCTTGGGATAACCAGCTACTTGACTTCGTAGCGATAGATGAATATTCATGTATAATACTACAGTACTGAGACAGTGACAGAGCATGTGCCGACAATCATAGGGGTATAGCCGGCGACTAGGGAGAACGAGCGCGATATGGTAATGGTGAGTGCGAAGGTTTTCGCCGTAAGGGCCCTGCATCGTCGCCGTCGGAACCTGAGCGCCTTCGCTCACGCTTTCGATGCCGATCGCGTCTCTCTCTGGAATTCTCGCTCCGATCTCGAGTCCGTTCTGACCGGTGGCGACGATGTCTGTCCTCCGAGTCATCTCGTGGTCTTGACTTCCGATGCCTATGGTCGTCGCGCGGACTCCTGTCACGGCTTCTGCTCCTCCGACGCGAGTGCTTCTCACGCACATCGCCTTCTCCCGCTTCCTTGATCCTTCTTCTGTCCCTGCTCCTATCTCGGTCTCTCGACCTGTCTCTCCGACTATGCCTATCCTTGCGCTTTGCCCGCTCCTTTTCTTTGCGCTTCAGCTTCTTCAGCTTCTTAAGAGCATAGTCCACTTTCTCTTGTTGGCGCTTGATCATGGAATCGCGCATCGGATCGTCCTCGTCCAGCTTCTCCATAAGCCGGCCAAGCTCAATCTCCTCTGGTAGTAGTGGTCGGTCGTCGTCCGAGTCGCTTTCGCTTTCCGTCTTTCTCCGCTTCCTTCTGCCGCCATCGGACTCATTGCCCGCGTCGAGGTCGACCTCCCCCATAGTGTTGTCCCTCATATCTTCGTCGTCCTTGGGCTTGTACCGCGCATGGTCGACCCTGATGACTCGGTCCATAATGGTTGCTCCACCTAGGTTGTCCACAGCCAAGTCGCAGCTCCTCTGATCTTCGTACTTGATCCAGGCAAAGCCTCGTGACTTTCCCGTCTCCTTGTCGCGCGCAAGCTTGACCCATACCGGCTCGCCATACTGAGAGAATATGGTGATGATGTCACCCTCTGAAAGTTCGAAGGGTAGGCCGCCAATGTTAATGAAGGCTGTGTCGCGGTAATCGGTGTGCCATGAACCTTCTGGGTTGATGCCCGCTTCGAGCTCGCGCTTGTTGAGCTGCTGGATCGCGCGCACCGAGTTCATCGTGGGCGTGGTGTGTACGTGGTGGTGA